TGGGCACACGGGGCTTGTAATAGTCTTTGGCGGCTCGCTCGCTGGCCGACTTCTGGAGTGCCACCCGGGCCATGGACGCCGTCAGGTGCTCCCTGCCCTCGGCCCGCCGCCGCAGGGCGTCAGAACAGCCACGCACATCCTCCGTGCTGCTCTTGCGCTCACTGACCACGTCCAGCTCAGAGTAGCCCTTGTCCTTCACTTGTGAATGGATTTCTAGCATCTGCTCACACTCAACCTTGGCCAGAAAAAGCTCAAAGGAGACCATCTTTACCTGCAGGAGCTCCACAAGCTCCTTGAGCCTGTAGGCGGTCCCCAGCTCGGGCACATAACCCATGTAGTTCAGGATGGTACGAATGTCCTCCTCTAGCAATGTTGACTTGACATAGTAAACAAACGGGCCTGTGTAGGTCTAGAGGAAGGCAGAGGAGAGAGGGAGGTCAGATCCCCTGGAGACACTCGAGCGAATGCCCAAATCAAGGACATGCAAGTCTGGTGGATGGAGCAGGAGGGGACAGGAAGGGAGGCCTGCAGTGGCTCCCCACGGCAGTGCAGAGGCTGACGCTCACTGTGCGCTCAGAGCACCTGCAGGGACTACATGCTCCTTTCCTTTGCACAGGGAACAGAACCACCAGCTTTCTAGAGGGGCCTGAGGCTGTGCTCCACAGGAGGAGGAAGCCAGCTGGCCTACAGCACTAAGCTGTGGAAAGGGAGCCAGGTCCAGGTCCCACACAGCTGACAGCAGGTCAAATCCCAGCCCTGGCGGCAAGAAGTCCGGTGTGTGTACTGCCCAGAATCCTGACAGGACAGATAAATGGAGGAAAAAGGGCTGCGGGGTGACTGGGCCCTGCAGGAGGGTGTTTTCTCTGTCTGGTGTGTGTCCTCTAGTGCTTAAAAAAATGGAAGAGGAAGCCAGGGTAGATATGGGTGACAAAAGGGGATCAGGACACGCAGTGAGCAGTGAGAACACTCCCCTGGCATTCCTAAGAAGGTCACATGAGTTTGTCAGACCTAAGAGCCTGGCCTGGGGGAACTCCCCTGAGCCAGCCCTGTCATAGAATGACCCAGAATCCTTTCCCACCACTGTTACCACCTAGGCCAGACAGCCTCCTGGAGCCTGCGGACCTGTCCCACACATTGCTGGTGCTCGTCTCGTCAGCTTCTTTTGGCAGCCAGGACTCTCTCATCCTAGCCCTGCCTTCTCCAGCCCACTCGGAGCAAATCTAAGCCCCCTGCCTCAGGCTGCAAGGCCCTGCACTGCCTGCCTTCCAATGCCTCGGCTAAGATGTGACTGGCAGGCTGGCAGCTGGCTTAGTGGTTGGGGTGCTGGACTCCCACACGGCCGACCACGGCTTAAGTCCCAGACCTGACAGCTTTCTTTTTTACTTTCTTACTTTCTTTCTCTCTCTCTCTCTCTCTCTCTCTCTCTCATGAGTACACATACCCTATGACAAATTAAAATATAATAATAAATAAAATGAAATGAGTAATTCTTTAAACAAAGAAAAAAAAGATGTGTCAGAGGGGCCAGGGCCAAGTAAGAGAGGGCATGCTGGAGAGCCAAGGTGGAGGGCCTAGGGCAATTCTGCTGGTTTCCCCTTTGGGACACAGTGGGGAGCGAGGGCCTAAGAGCAGAGGGGAGGCCTGATGGCATACGGCCTTTCAGGGCTGAATGGCGGGCTAGCAGGGGGAGCGGACACCATCTGGGGCACTTCCCTGGTCCTCACCTTGATGCTTCGGAACTCCTTCTTCCATGGGTAGAGGAAGAGGTTGATGCCCACCGTCTCCAGCATGCTGAAGGCGCAGTGCAGCGCGCGCAGGCTGGAGGAGCTCAGTGAGCGCAGAGAGCTCTCCACCACCTCATAGAACTGGATCAGCCGGAATCGATAAAAGGGATCCACCTTGTGCAGGCTGAGCAGGGTCGAGGCCGCCCCCCGCAGGAACTCATCGCTGCCAGGCTGCTGCTTGCTGGGGGTGGGGTCCACTTTGCCCTCATGGAACTGCACGTACTTCCGAAATAAGTCATCCTTGTATTTTGTATCCATCGAACTGGGCTTCCCCATCCAGGCGAGTGAGGGGGCTACCTTATCTCCTCCATGGCTTCGGGGGCAGAGGCCGGGACATGGCCACAGGCGCTGCCATGCTGCCCGCCTGGGCCGGCGCAGGGCTCTGAAAGAGGGAACGAGAAGCACGTCACTTCTCGGAATGGTCCACACACCGGCTTCTGTCCACGGAGGCAGAGCACAAGGCAGAACTGGCCCAGATGACAATGGCGCCACCACTCCAGCTCCCTCTGCATGCTCAGGCAGCACCCCTACGGGACACGCAGCACGTGGAAGGCCGCAGTGGAGGCAGCAGGTAGGTCCTTGACCATGCTGAGCTCACACACGGGTGATGGGATCAACGCTCCCGAAGGGAAGTCAGGGTGCGCGAGACAGCACTGACCTGGTGCTGTGGGGGGAGGGGAACTTAAGGACAGCCCCAGGCACCGACAGTCAGACCTGCAGGACGGAGGAGTCTGCCAGGCAAAGAGGTGGGTGAGGGGTGGCACAGCAGAGGCGGCGAGGAGGGCACTGGCTTGCTCAGACAGCACTTGCTCTCCCAGAACCCCACACACTCACTCACTCTCCCTTAACACCCCGAGGAGATAGGGAGAGCCAAGATCAGAACCCTGGCAGTCTGGCAGTCTGGCTCCAAAGTCTGTGCCTTCACTACCACACCCTGCTTTCCTGAGGCAGGAAGGAGCTTGGCACACAAACAGAAAGGCTGGGAGGCCAACACTGTGGGGAGGGAGGGGTGATGAGGACAGGCCACAGGCTGGAGCAGGATCCCGACTGCGGCCTCCAGGCGCACAGAGACTTTATATTTTATTCAAAGAGCTGTGTGAAGCCATGGAAGCATTCCAGGGGAAGAAGGGCAGGGTCATACACAGCTTGAAACAGACCTCTCTGGCTGCTGTCTGCACAGCTACACCCCCTTCACTTCCAGAGTATTTATTGTAGAGCCCCCTTGGGAGAGGATGGGATGTCCTGAGTCTGGACGTGGGATTTACACAACCTGCTGTCTGCTTAACCTCTCTCAGTGGAATATTCTTGCTGCCACAATCTAGATGCATTGAGGCCATGGCCTGGGAGGCAACACGGCGTGGGATTCTGACCTGGCACCCAAAGCCAAGCTGCCCAGCTGGGAGCCCTGGCTCTGCTTCTGCAGGCACTTGAGCCAATTACTCAACTTGCCTGGGTGTCAGTTTTTTCATCTGTAGAGAGGGGTTAACAATGACACCCAGCAGAGTCGGCAAGGACCACACGCAAGCAGAATAAATGCCCTCTGCAGAGTGCCCACTCCGTGTAAGCCCTGGGCAGTCACTCCTGTGGTCAGAAGGTGCTGCGGCTAACATACCGGGCACTCTCAGGCAGGTCAGACAGAAAGAGCAAACATCCTGGGGTGGCTCACGTGCCTTCCTACACTCTCCTGCCCTGCCTCTGCTGACCAAAGCTCCTGGATGCAGGACTGTGGCCATCTTGCCCAGTAAGGTCCTCAGCCAGGGCCGGGGGCAGAGTATATGCTTCATAAACATGCACTCACTGATTGGGTGATGGCGAGGGCCTGGGCCTGACCTGCAGAGTCCATTAGCACAGGGGCCCCAACCCCTAGGCTGCAGCCAGTGCTGGTCCGTGGCCTATTGGGGTGAGGCTGTGGACCGGGCCTCCTGCCAGGCCAAGGCTTCCTCTGTGTTTGCAGCCACCCGCCCCTGGGGCACTGCCGCCTGGGCCCACCTCCTGTCAGATCACGGCAGTACTGGGGTTCTCACGGGAGCACAACCCTACTGCGGTGACTGTTTCACTGTAGATCGCAATGTAGTACGGTGTAAATGGGGTGCACAGTGGATGGAGTGCACCTGGGTCATCCCAGGACCAGCCCCCGCCAGTCTGTGGAGAGATGGTCTTCCAGGAGGCCACAGAAACCAGGAAGATTGGGGAATGCTGCTTTAGCAGAGCTCAGTTCAGCTCAGTAAGTGCCAAAGGCCCACAAGCCTGGCAATGGATTAAAATCATCCTCTTCTCAACGAGCCCCTGGTCTGGCTTCCGCATGGTTATGGGGACTGTTGGGAAAATTAGTGGCAGGATGTACAGCAAAACTAGGGACACAGAGAGGTCACCTCCCCAACCCACTAGCCTGCGGAGGGAGCCCAGTGCTATGGAGACAAATAAGCCTGAAGAGTCTAGGAGGCAAACACGAAACCACCAAGGGTAAAATCCTGCCTCTTGCCCAAGGCTGAGGCCTCTACATGCCCGTACCCCATCACCTCATAGCAGTCTTCCCCTTTCCTCTAGGCCCCACCCACATGGACCTCCTGCCTGTTCCTCAACAGGTCAATCTTGTTTCCACCTCAGGACCTCTGCACATGCTGTTCTGTTTGCATGTTCTATTTTTTTTTGAGAGATTTTTGTTATAGGGCAAGTGCACTCACTAGAGATACAGAGTGAGACAGAGAGACAGAAAGGAAGAAATCACCCTCCAGGGGGCATGGCCAAACAGCAATACCTTCTCCTCCAGTCTCCTCTTGGGATTTTGGACATGCACGCCCGGTATGAGTTTAAGCCACTGGGTCTGGGACTCTAACTTCAGTCGACTATGTGTGTGGGGGAGTGGGGGGGGGGTGTCCAGCGATGTAACCATTATGCCAACTGCTGATCCCATACATGTTCTTTCTTTGATCCACCCCACAGCGGGCTCACTCTCATCATTCAGGCCTCTGCTGGAATCCTGCAGAGGCCTCCCCTAGCCACTTCACTTGAAGTCACCCCCACCTTCTGAGTCCCTCACTGTCACATTATTGTGGGATAACCATGTTCTGAAATGTCCAACTTCATTCATTTGCTCACGCCCTCTCTTTGTCCCGCCTGTTATCTGGTAAGCCCCACACGGGCAAGGACCACATCTGGTCTGGTCTGTTCACCAGGATGCCTACCACAGAGCCTGGCACACACTAAGTGGTTGATAAAGTAGGTGCGATGCGTGCATTCATGACACCACCCCGTAGCTTCTCACTGGTATTGCCCAAGAGTTCAGGGAGATCAGCTGGAGAGAGGAATCGGGCTCCAGAAGACGACAGAATGCGCTGCAGGTGCTGGAAGGTGAGCCTGAGCTCCCACACCCGCCCTTCTGACTGGGAACTTGTGCTCCTTCCACCACCCCGACATTCCCATGCTTCATGAGCATTTGTGCAGCACCCATTCTGCCAGGCCCTGAGTGGGGTACGGGGGAGGGGGGTGGCAAGTAGAGAAGATGGGGTGAGGTAGAGGACAGCAAATCCTGCCCTCAATTCCAGCTGGAAGAACTTATCACCTAGAATCAACGTGTGTATGTTTTTTAAGTGAGATTTTTTGCTATAGGGCATGTGTGCTCCCCAGAGAGACAAAAAGCAAGAAATCACCCCCTAGGAGCATGGCCATGCTGCAGCCCCTTCTCTTCCATTCCCATCCTGGGATTTGGGGCACACAAGCACACATGCCTGGGATGAGTTGTAAGCCACCTGGTCTGGGATTCAAACCATGGTCGACCATGTGGGAGTCCAGTAATGTAGCCACTACGCCATCTGCTGATCCCTGGATGTTCTCTTAAAAAATAAAAACAGAGCCAGCCTGGTGGCATGGTGGTGAAGGCAACTGGACATGGCCAACTGCACAGTTCAAGTCCTAGACCCACTGGCTTGAAAAACACACCAGGCAGATGTGTGTGCATGCCCAAAAATCCAAAGAGGAGAATGGAGAAAAAGGGATAACAGCGTTCATCCCCTCTGGGGGTTCATTTGTTCTCTCTCTCACACACGCACACAAGTGCACACACTCTATAGCAAATTTTTAAAAATAAAAATAGGACCAGCCCCTTAGTACGGTGGTTAAGGGAGCTAGATCTCACATGGCTCACTGTGGCTCAAACCCTAGCCCTGGAGGCTTGAAAAACATACTGAACATGCATGCTCAAAATCTGGAAGGCATGGAGAAGTGGAGGAAGAGGGACTGTGGTGCAACCACACCCCACTGGAGGTGCTTACTCTCTCTGTCTCTCTGGTGAGTGTGCATGCCTCTGGAGATTCAAATCAAACCAAAACAAAACACACTCATTGCTGTTCTTGCTAAAAAATACCATACCAATGTACCATTTTCTACTCATCTGAAAGAAGCTTTCATCCTGCCTTTGGCCCTAGGGACTGTTTTTTGGTACATCGGAGAAACATTTAAACAGGGGACATCAAATCTCCCTAAACACTGCTGTGATTTTTCTCCAAAGAAGTCGACCTTGAACTCAAAGAGGCTGTTTTTTACGAAGTCAGCCTCCCTCCCGCTCAGCTCTTCAAGCCCAGGTCTGCCGCTCTGTAATCACACGGCAGTCCACGCCCTTGTTATGGCAGGCGAACAATAACCAAGGAAAGGGGATCTGAAGCCCAGGCCGTATTTGAAATCCTAAAAGCAAGGACAGGAGACCCACCTAAGAAGAACCTTGAACTAAGCTAGGTAGGTGAGGGTGAGGCCACAGATAGTAGATGCTAAAAGATAACTACAGAAAGAAACTAACAATCGCTGAGGCCCTAATGTGTGCTAAGCACGGGGCGGTCCACCTGAAGGGCATCGTCCCATTAGTCCTCACAGCTCTGTGAAGGAACCTAGGCTCAGCCCCTCAACCACCTGTCCAAAGGGGCTGTATGGGTCTGAGAAACAGAATTTGAACCTAAGGCCGGGGACTCCTCCCATTTATTTTACTCGTTTATAGTTGAATTATTAAGCCTATGCAAAATATGTCATGATTTTCCCAACAACCCGACAGTACCAATGACCAGGGGATCAGTGTGTGTGGGTCCTCTGACAACGGCTCTATGAAAATCAAGGACATCCACATGACAGCCCTCAGGCAAAAGGAGAAACTGAGACAGAAAGAGGCCAACACACTTGTCCTGTCATCAGGCTAGGAAGAAGTTCAGCTGAGAGCGGCCCCGAGGTGCAACGCCAACACCCGGGCGTTTCTGTAGGCCACCCTACGGTCCGCATCAGTGGACAGCTCTGCCTGAAAGGGCTGGTTACGTTACAATGCCCTGTGACAGGTGAACAGAGTTAAGTTCTAAAATTTCCAGCAGTAGCAAAATGCCCATCTTCCCACCCAGAACGCGGCTGGGAAAGCCACTGATCTT